TTGTATTGGGAAGCAAGTTGATTTCATATGGAAAGAAAGTGAGTCAACAGGTGGGGTTGAGATTCAAAGGGCTTCAGAAGCTTTGCACAACTCTCTTGGTTGGATACATTTCATGTAAAGGAAGAGGCCTCATTCGGAAAATGGGTTTAGACTTCACCATCGAATGGTTGGTGGTGATAGGAGATTCAACCATTTTCAAGTTAGTAGGGGCATAGGATATTGCATTTAACAGTAATAACTCATACAAATCTCTGTTGTCTATTGTATTGTGATGCTCTATGCCCTCATAATATCTCCCCAGAAGATCGTGATATCACGATACATTTCCAAAGAAGCATATTCACGAATTAGATGGAAGAAGATACACGTGGTAGACTGGATCATTATCTCTTGCATTTTTTGATATGTTTTCAAAGGCATCTCCAATCATTTTAACCTTTGCGAAGAAGTAGATGGATGAATTGTACTCGTGGACCAAAGAAGGACACACTTCGCTCCTCTTCTCTAATTTTTCAAACGATAGATTCAGCTAAATCTGATTGAATAGTTGATGCTAGCTTTTTCAGATACACATTTCCAGCTTCAGATTCAGGATTACTTTAGGAGAAAGCCATCTTATGGGAAATTGTCTAAACAAGGCCACCTTTCCTCGTTTTAGTAGTGTTGTTGCTGCCCTAAACATCTTCATGTTGTATTAAGCTCCGAAAATTTCACTTTTCAAATCAAATTATTTTTTGCAGCTCTATTCGATTTCAAACCATAATTCACTTAGCAATGCCCGCCTCTACAACATGGACCTCTTTCTTTTCTTAGCAAGTAAATCTTTAAAAAAAAAAAACCCTACAAGAAAGATAAGCCCTTTACTCTAAATTGCAATATCACCAAGTGATTATATTTCGCTGGGCATTGTCAAGTACCGATCATATAATCCTATAACCAAGCTACTCTTATGTTTAAGCATTTAAATAAAACAATTTCACTCTAAACTTCAAAGTTTAAGAAACATAAGCAAAAGTCATTTTAGTGACATCTCATATCGGGTAGCTTTGGTGTGTCCATTCTAAAAATAAGAAAATTCCCCTTAATGTTATCTGAAAAATCTGAAATTCGTGTCAAATTCTAGTCAACTCATTAAGGTTACTTCATATTAATGTTC